CTATACTAGGTTGGAGGCAATTTCTGCTGCTCTAATCACAGAATTTAGAATAGCTCAAGAAAAAAATCTCATGGAATTCACCAGAAAGAGAAGATCGATTTATGCAAAACTGTCAGGTTGAGGGAGATGATGCAACTTGATAAAATGGCGGAGAGATCATGGTCCTACTTTTAATTAGGTTTCTAATTTTTAAAACTGCGAATAGCTACCATGACTCAAAGGGCAGCAGCATACTCTAGTCTTTCAATTGCAGAGCTTTGCTTCACAATCTTTTAGTTATAATGTTTTTTGTGCTTGTAATTCTTGTAAAATGAGGAATAAAGTACATGCATATGTGTTGATATACATTATGTATATGTACTATATATCACATAAAAATATTTTGAGAATTAATGTTATATCATTCTCTGAGATTGATGGGCACATGATATAAAAGAGTTGTAGATGGGCAAGAGACTATTGTTTTGAGACAGCATCCCTCAAAACTCTTGACCATGTGTTAGATGTTCATATGGATGGTAATGCCTATTTATTTCATTTTAAATTATTTCTCCTCATGTTTTTTTGGACCAATAAACCTGGTTTATTATTATTATTATTTTGAATAATAAAATGTTCCACATTCTTCTTCCACTCTATCCAGAACCACCTATTGTGATCTGTTTCAGAGCAGTCAGTGGTGAAAGTGGGCACCATCTAGTTCTTTTGGTTACAGGGTCATGGAGGCTGGGGTTTGCATGGTCCATTAGTCCTTTGGACTAATTATTTCCTTGTGCCTTTGATTTTTTTTCACTCTTCTTTGCTCTGGAAAGGAGGAGATCAATAGTTGTACCTTAGATGGCCACTCACAAGCTGTTAAGACCCCAGACACTACTCACCAAAGTAGGATGTAGAACATTGTCTTGGTGAACTATGCTATGCCAGTTGACCCTGATGTCCCCTTTGACAATGGCCCTGAGCTCTCATGCCCAGCAGCTCATCCTGTCAAGGTGTTTGGTTATGGCTATGAAGTTTTCATAACTCTGCCCCTTGTCTGCTCTACTATGTTGATGGATATATTTGCAGAACATATAAATATATATATAGAAATATCCTTTTCCACACATACCTATATATATATTCATGAGTGTAGTCCCATTTCTCCTTTTATTTTGTTAGGATGAAATAACGGAAATGAAGAGGAAATTAAAGATTATGACTCATCAGGTAGATCAGTTGAAAGAAGAAATATCGGCCAAAGAGTCAGCACTTGTGAAGCTACACCTGGAACAGCAGCGAATAGAAAAGGAGAAGGAAACATTAAAGGTACAGACCTTATAATGAAAGTGACCGACTCATATTCTATCTGTTTGACCCAACTAAGGCAGGCTTTGCTCCCACTGGAGGCAGCAAAGGGCAGAGAGAACAATCAAGGCTGCCTGTGGTCACTATTGCTGGTTACCTACACCACTCCATGCAAGGCACCAGGAAGATGAGCTTACCCTCTCCAGTCAGGGCCCCTTATAGGTAGTGCTTCCAATTGGATGGGCAGGGTAAGTGGTGAAGGGGGCTGTGGAGAGGCACAAACACCTAGTGCAGTTATGCTAGCTGTCATCACATCAGTGGAAGTGACCTAAGGGGTTGGCAGTGCCCATAAAGTCTTTGAGCTTGCACACTCACTACAATCCTTTTGCGTTCATATCCCAAGTCCAGCCCTTTCATCCACATCCAATCCTCCCAGACTCCTCCCTGGACCTTCTAAAAGGTGATGCTGGCAAGGCCCTCTGGCCTTCTGCTCCTGATTGTTGTTTTCTTGGTGTGCACATGGTTTTTCTCTCCAATATAGTTAACTTTTGGGTATCCATCAGATCCTTGTCCATACTGGGTTCGCCTTCATCCGGGTTCATAGTTCACTTTACCTATATGGACCTAAGAACTTTGTAGCTACTCCATTCTATGTCTACTACATAAGGACACTCCAATAATACAGCACCAAATAACTGCATCATTTAAAATCCTCTAACCAAGTATGTTTTATTATATAGGTCACTAAACCTAGTATATGACCCTTTTCCTATTCAATCCAATAGATTTCCCTTCTAATCCACTTGACCAACAAATTTAAAAAGGTACTTCTACTTCTAAGAGAATGATGCCACTTTTATTTTGAAAATGTTTTATGTGAATGCTTATGAGCTGCTGCAGAAGTTATTTGCAACAAAGTAGAGACTGGGTACCTTGGTTTCTGCATGCATTAGCTTTCAAACTTAGTGTTGGACTGGTTTAATGCCATATTTTCTTGATTCAAAGATGTGGTAGACTGAAATATGCACTCTCAATTTAATAATGGGTTTTGTCAATTTAATAATAGGTTTTCATGAAAATAGAACTGCTACCTTAAATTAACTTAAGGCACATCTTGGTTCAAGAAGATTAAAATATGAAAAAAGTATCTTTAGAAAATAATGTGGTAACTGATATATTTGCCTCTTTGACACTTTCATCTCCCCACTCCAGGTTATGATAGAAAAAGAATAGAAAATGCTGCGTTAAAATTTGTTTTTATACATAGAAACATATATGTGTTTTCTAAGATTTGGAAATATCCTGTGTCTTTGCCCTTATTCTCATTATTCAAAAGCATAGTTTTATAAAAGGCAGCTTGTTTCACCCTGGAACCTGTAGTGGGTTGGGGGTTTATTTATCACTGAATGAGTCAAAAGAACCTTATTATAAAAATAGCCTTACCCGTGGGCTTCATGGACCCATGTTACCAAGGATTCCATGTAACTCCATTTGGAGTATCTAGTCCATCAACTCTTTCCTTTTAGAGAATGACGGTGACTC